TGTCACAAAGCAGCATTACCATTTGTGAAAAAGATATGTTTTATGGTGACAGTAGAATAAGAATCTCTGCTCGAGGCATGTCTGCCAGATAACATGTAGTCTATATATTTTTTTAATTTAAGCATTTCAATATAGCTATAATTAATCGATTTAAGAAACCATCTACATTTTTCTTTTTTCAATTAAGCTCAAAATATTTACAAGCACAAACTTTTTTCTTTTGTCACTCCTCCGTTGCTTTTTTCCATTTTTCCGACTAGTTAAAAAGTTTTTTCTATATAGTTGAGTAGTTTAAACGAACAACAATAGAAAAATTTTTTCTCTTCGAAAATTTTTAACTTGTTTAAGCGAAAAATAGAGATTTTTAGCGATGCAAAATGCACTGGAATCGCAATTTTAGCTATATAAGCTGTCAAAACAGTTCACCCACTTTATCCGATTCATTTGTTCATCGCTAAGATCTACCATAAAGTGAATTAAAAATGGAATTTTTTTTTTTTTACCATTCCAGCGCATCCGCACGAGGGGCGCAGTCCGCATGACGTACGGAACCAGTATTTTCAATCCTTGCGCCGAGTCACGATAGGCAGGAGTTTGTTAAGTGTCGAGATCTAAAACTGTTCAGCTACAGAACTAAATTCATCAGCCGATTTTATGTCTTTATTTTAATGATTCATTTATTGAGAGAGGACAGTATCGATTTCTTAATGCTGAAAAGCGGATCTGATATATCAAACGTGCTGGAATGAGAGTTAAAATCCTGGCATAAGCAACGGAGTGGGTCGTGCAATTCAAAATTAGTTTTACAAGCTTTCAGAAATAGGGGACAAAAGTGTCTTGATACCCGGGAGGGAACATTAAGGCTAACTTCGCCAAGAAGAAGCGGACTTGAAATTGAGCCTGTTAGTAATTTAACTATAAAAATTATACCAAGCATTTGCCTGCGGCTGGAAAGTGTAGGAAGATTAATAAGTTTTAATCGGCTCGTATAAGGTGGAAGGTTATATTGAGAGTCCCAACGGAAATTTCTTAAAGCAAAAAGTAGGAATTGTTTTTGAATTGATTCCATCTTGTCTGAGTAAATTTGATACCTTGGATTCCAAACCACCGTATTCCAGAATTGGCCTAACTAGTATTGTTAAAAGGGTTTTAGTGATATAAGGGTCACAAAATTCTTTTGACCAACGTTTCCCAAATGCAAGTACACCTTTAGCCTTGTTGACTGTCACATTAATATGAAGATTAAAATTAAGCTTAGGATCCATTGTGATACCAAGTTCCACAAAATTGTATACCTGTTCCAGGTTATGGTTACCTATTGTATAAGAAGCGGGATGAACAGCTCTTCGCGAGAAGCTCATTACTTTACATTTCATAAGATTTAGAGGCATACGATTTACTTGACACCAGTAAGCCATGCTGTCTAAGTCTGATTGTAGCTAAAGCTTTACATCATCTGCATACATTAAAATTTTGGAAAATTGTATATCTGTAGAAATATCGTTTATAAAAAGCAAGAACAGAACCGGGCCTAGGTGGCTACCTTGAGGGACTCCTGAAGTAACATCAATGACGTCAGAGATAGTATTTTTAAACATTACCCTTTGTGATCTATCATAGAGGTATGAAGAGATCCAACGTAGAAAATTAGGTGGAAGACCAAGAAGATCAAGTTTGTAGATGAGCAACGAGTGGCACACTTTGTCAAATGCTTTACTGAAGTCAGTATATATAACATCAACAGTTTTGCTTTCACTAAATGCTTTTGAGATATAGGATGTTAATTGGAGTAAATTTGTAGAAGTTGATTTGCCCTTGCAAAATCCTTGTTGACTATATGAAATGCTAGAAGAGATAGAATGCGTCAACTGATTTGTTATAATTGCTTCAAATAATTTAGGAATTGCAGAAAGCTTAGCTATTCCCCGGTAGTTCTCCACTGAAGATCTGCTACCGCTTTTATGTAACGGGGTTATGAACGATTCCTTCCATATAGTTGCAAAAACGCCCTCTTTAAGGATAAATTAAATAACGCTGTTAACGGCTCATAGAGATAATCAGAACAATTTATAAGAATACAAGTAGGGACCATAACTGAAGGACCGCTTTAAGGATTTCAGATAAACTACTACATCATTGGGAGATATTACTGGGATATTTATTGAGTTCATTGGACATAGTTTAAAAGGATAGTCAATGTTCGCATGTGAGTTAATGGAATAGTTGGACTTAAAAAACTGAGCGAACATGTTAGAAATTGGTTGATTATCACTAGAGACGGTATTTTGATGGTATTTTAGAGATGCCTTTTTAAGATAGAATGGCAAAAATTGCTAAAATTCATTTAGCATTTTTTGGCGATGGAGTTTTAGTGATAGCGAAAGTTGGAATTCGGCCGAGGCACTTCTATTTTAGCAAAGGTAAGTAAAGTTTTTTCCTACCTCGTCTACCCGCTTTCTGTAGAATGCCCGTCTACCTAATAGCATGGGCCGAAAATCCGCTTTTTGAGAATTTTGATTTGTAAAAGCAAAAATATGGTTCATTATGCTCTAAAAACAATCTGTGTGGAAGATGACAACTTTTGGTCAATATCTTAGGCTCGCCCAAGTCCATCAAACCTCAAGTGCTAAGAAAATTTTTGCTTAGCTTAGTTCGATTCTTTCCAAAAAAAAGTCCATAAACCAAATTATGTAGGACTAATACTTTCGAAGATACTTGTAATTTTAGTAAAAAAAAAAATATGTATTAATTAACGTATTTATTAATTGTTATTTTTTGAGCACATTGAACCAGGGACGTGAACCGGTTTTGAACCGAACCGGTTTTGAACCGGAAAACCGCTTTTTTTCTATTAATTAACTGAACCATTAACCGAACCGAAATTTTCCACAAATGTTTGATCCGTACCGAAAACCGAACCACTCTCCATAAAGGTTTAAAGGTTCGTTTCAACCAAGTTTTAATAGATAAATGTACCCACTTTTTTCTTTTTGTTAAACATGTTAATACCTACCATGTTTATTTACCATGTGACAGTATCAAATTTAAAGGCAACTCATTTCATTTGACAGACACTTGTCCCTTTACCTTGCGCGTTGTTGCACTTGACTCTTGACACTTAAACTTGCGCGTTATTTTTTATACCCGAGCGCACTTGTGCACAAGGGTATTATAACTTTGGTCACATAACGGCTGTTTGTAACAGGTAAAACGAATCGAGATAGATATAATGAAAGAAAAGAGAAATCAATTAAGCGGTGACTGTCTGTCCGTCCGGCGGTCCATCTGTGCACACGATAACTCGAGTAAAAATTGAGATATCTTAACGAAACTTTGTACATGCACTTATTTCAAAATCAGTACATATTAAAGTTAATTTTTTTAAAATTGATGCTTGCGACAATCCTTCACCAAGAAATATGTCTATGATAAAATTTTGGAAAACGGGCGTGGCACCGCCCACTTGTGATCACATATATGTATCTCGGTAACCGGTCTACCAATTTATACCAAACTCGGTATGGCTATTGTGCTTGCCAAATAAAAGCAAAACGATGAAAATTATTGAAATCAGACTAAAACCGAGGCCGCTTTTCATATAACGGTAAATTTCAGAAATGCTTGAAACTTCAATATTTCGAAATTTAAGGACGCTAAATTACTCAAAATTGACACACCCCGGCTTACCATGTTGCGGTGGCTTTCGGAAAGGTGAAAATCATATATTTAATACTTGCGCCGGGTATTTAATGTTCGGCTCCGCCCGAACTTAGACTTTATTACTTGTTTGTTTTTCGACCCGTTGAACCGAACCGAAACCCCGGCTCAAAGACCAAAAAACCGCTTTTACGAACCAATCCAAAAGTGCAGAAACGGTTCGAACCTCTGAACCGAACCGACAAAATTTTTCATCCGGTTCTCGTCCCTGCATTGAACTTTGATGGACATAGGCGAGCCTAAGATATTGACCAAAAATTGTCATCTTTCACACAGATTGTTTTTAAAGCATAATGAATCATAATTTTGGTATTACCAATCAAAATTCTAAAAAAGCGGATTTTCGGCCCACGCTACTACTCAAGCAAGCAGATACGGGTGCATTCCTAAATACATATAACTCTACTTATTATTTAAATTTTGTTACTTAAAAAATAAGTTAGGTCTGGGGCCTACATTTAAAATGTTTTCATCCTAGCCTATACGAATTTTTGTATGAATTGGCTAATACATAAATAAATGAGCAAATAAAAACAAATATATAAAAACAGGAAAGGAAACTGTTTTTTTTTAATCTAATTTATAAACACCAACTCAATTTTATCAAATGGTTTATTTTTAATTGATTAAAATATACGTTTTTCTTAAACGATAAAATAAGGATTTAAAAATGAAAATAGAACTCCAGCAAAAATTCCAGTTATGAGCATTGCAGCTGCAAACATTCCAGCTTTCACTTGGTGTTTTGGTTCAACTGTTTGTGGTGCGTACATCATGGCCAATGAACTAGAAATAGAAGTTATTTTTCAATAAGTGAACTTTTTCAGAACGANGTGCAGAAACGGTTCGAACCTCTGAACCGAACCGACAAAATTTTTCATCCGGTTCTCGTCCCTGCATTGAACTTTGATGGACATAGGCGAGCCTAAGATATTGACCAAAAATTGTCATCTTTCACACAGATTGTTTTTAAAGCATAATGAATCATAATTTTGGTATTACCAATCAAAATTCTAAAAAAGCGGATTTTCGGCCCACGCTACTACTCAAGCAAGCAGATACGGGTGCATTCCTAAATACATATAACTCTACTTATTATTTAAATTTTGTTACTTAAAAAATAAGTTAGGTCTGGGGCCTACATTTAAAATGTTTTCATCCTAGCCTATACGAATTTTTGTATTAATTGGCTAATACATAAATAAATGAGCAAATAAAAACAAATATATAAAAACAGGAAAGGAAACTGTTTTTTTTTAATCTAATTTATAAACACCAACTCAATTTTATCAAATGGTTTATTTTTAATTGATTAAAATATACGTTTTTCTTAAACGATAAAATAAGGATTTAAAAATGAAAATAGAACTCCAGCAAAAATTCCAGTTATGAGCATTGCAGCTGCAAACATTCCAGCTTTCACTTGGTGTTTTGGTTCAACTGTTTGTGGTGCGTACATCATGGCCAATGAACTAGAAATAGAAGTTATTTTTCAATAAGTGAACTTTTTCAGAACGATTTATTTAATTTTAATGACAGGCTTATAACAAAATCTTACAAATTTAAGCCAATTACGCACTCATCAGTATATAAGATTTAAAGGAATCTCCCAACACAATTTTTCTATGCTTCGGTTGTTCGAATAACTACATATAGTAGATACATACTAGCAAAATTGTTTGAAAGGTAATACGAGGGTCACTAAATAAGGCCTTAGATTTCGCAATGCTAATTTCAAGTCCATACACTCAGGGCCTGCACAATTGGCATTTATATTTAACTAAACTGTTGAATTTTATTATTGTAACTAGTAATAATCCCCGAAAATCGGTGTGCTCCGTGGTTTAACAAATCTGCATATATTTCTTTATTCTAAAAACCACATGCATTGATTTTGGTAGTTAACTTTAACTTTGGTATTTTGGCAAGATCATACTCTACTCCAAATATGGGAACATTTGCCCGTATGAGCTTTTTTGCCTGTATGCAGTGTTTTCAGGTCTTCGGCATGAGAAAACGTTCCTCTTGGTCTGAAAAAACGTCATTTCCTACATAAAACAGTCTTTTCCAAATGTATGCACAAAGAATTGTTCTTATTAAACTTATATTGTATACAAAGGTACATATGTACGTAAGGTATATTAAAATGTCATTTGCTCTGTCACATTTAAAATTCATTCTAAACTGGTTTGAGATCATTAATATAAAAATCATTTTATACATACACTTGTGATCAGCTGATTAAGACATCGATTTTTCTGTTTCTTTTTTGTTTATTTAATGTTTATTATTTTTCCATAAAAGCCTAGCTCATTATATAACAAACAAAATATAAATCAACATTTCATACTTTGTGCAAAAATTATAAAAAAAACTCCAAAACTTCAGCTAGATTTTCACCTTTTCATTAAGATTTTTTAGAATTTTTTTGAGTATGCAGGTTGATAGCCCATTAAATTCCAGGGAAATAATGTNGCGGATTTTCGGCCCACGCTACTACTCAAGCAAGCAGATACGGGTGCATTCCTAAATACATATAACTCTACTTAAAAACTTAAAAAATAAGTTAGGTCTGGGGCCTACATTTAAAATGTTTTCATCCTAGCCTATACGAATTTTTGTATGNCGTTCTGTTAAGAAGGAACATAGCAATATTTCATTACATTTTCAATAAGGGGCCCATGCGACTAATTGTGTCATTTTCTTTATGCGCTTAAATAAGAGTTAAGTCATCTGTGTCCAAAATATAAATATTTTTTGAAGCAGCAGCGTCAAAAAATAAAGTTTGTAAAGATTTATTAAGAAAATAATTCAAAATCAGTTCANATTTTGGTAGTTAACTTTAACTTTGGTATTTTGGCAAGATCATACTCTACTCCAAATATGGGAACATTTGCCCGTATGAGCTTTTTTGCCTGTATGCAGTGTTTTCAGGTCTTCGGCATGAGAAAACGTTCCTCTTGGTCTGAAAAAACGTCATTTCCTACATAAAACAGTCTTTTCCAAATGTATGCACAAAGAATTGTTCTTATTAAACTTATATTGTATACAAAGGTACATATGTACGTAAGGTATATTAAAATGTCATTTGCTCTGTCACATTTAAAATTCATTCTAAACTGGTTTGAGATCATTAATATAAAAATCATTTTATACATACACTTGTGATCAGCTGATTAAGACATCGATTTTTCTGTTTCTTTTTTGTTTATTTAATGTTTATTATTTTTCCATAAAAGCCTAGCTCATTATATAACAAACAAAATATAAATCAACATTTCATACTTTGTGCAAAAATTATAAAAAAAACTCCAAAACTTCAGCTAGATTTTCACCTTTTCATTAAGATTTTTTAGAATTTTTTTGAGTATGCAGGTTGATAGCCCATTAAATTCCAGGGAAATAATGTGCAAGGTTTAAGGTGCTAAAGAATCGCGTTGATTTTAAATTTTTTTTTTTCTTGTAGACATTTGGTTAAGTGGACGGTTGTCGAAAATGCTAAATTACGTTCTGTTAAGAAGGAACATAGCAATATTTCATTACATTTTCAATAAGGGGCCCATGCGGCTAATTGTGTCATTTTCTTTATGCGCTTAAATAAGAGTTAAGTCATCTGTGTCCAAAATATAAATATTTTTTGAAGCAGCAGCGTCAAAAAATAAAGTTTGTAAAGATTTATTAAGAAAATAATTCAAAATCAGTTCAACTTACAAGATTTAGTAACAGAGAAAAATTACTGGAAAGTTAAAAAACGTCATTTTTTACACACAAAATGTCCAAACGTCAACAGGATACAAAAAACGTGCAAATGACGTTAAAAACGTCAACCTGCCAACGCTGCCTATATGGGCAAGCGAGCCCATTTCGCGGGCTAGATCAGGGGAAAATCATGGGCAAACATGAAGGGCAGGGTCGGATCCAGCGGGGCGGTTTCGGGGGTTAAACTACGTGTCAGTCTGTGGCGGACTCACGGGGGTGTTTTAATACATAGAGGCCATATTATACATACATACATATATATACATAGATATACATATACATTCATTGAATGGGGCAACGAATCTTACTAATTCACGTATACCAATGAGAGCCACGGGACACGCATTCTGGAGTAAAAGGCCCACTCTCCCTAACGTACGCCACATACACTCCACGTCATTTGAATAGCTCAATCTTTTGATCCTTATGCCGAATTTCCACTAGACATTGAAATTACAAAAAATGTATGTCATTTAAAAAATGCCATGTGGAAATGAACTTAATGACAAGTTTTTTAGTGTAGTGACACGATTATTTTTTAATGCCCGACTTTGTCATTTGTCATGTTTGCCATTTAATGCCTAGTGGAAATCCAGCATTAGTATTTACATTTTTAATTTTGTTTATTTAATATTCACTACATCCGATTTTAAAAATATACAGAGTTAAAAAAATGTCAACAACGGGGTACAATAAAGTGCAAGTTTCAGTTGTCTGTAAAATAGCGGTGATTTTTGACAATTTTGTTGGTGATGGTGCTGCGCATTTTCTCTCATACAAAGTATGCTCGTCAAAATTTTTATAGGGAATAAAATGCGCAGCACCGTCAATAAAAAATAAAAAAAATTTCAAAAAACAGGGCTATTTTAGAGTCACTTGAAACTTGACCTCTATTACACTATAATTGAATGGGCTACAAGACTGCATATCCGAAATTTTTCTAAAAATATTATTAACTTATTCACTGTAGGTCATTAGGATGGCACACTCCTATGTTGACCTTTTTTAAGAACTGTTTCCAGCTCTCAAGAAAAACGAAAAACTCACATAAAGTGCTGCCCAAGAAATGGAAAAGAAATTTTCTTTTATGTTTTAATTTGTAAAAAAATTTAAAATTGCATTTACCCGTAGAATATGCTATATTTTTACAAAAAAATTTATATTTAATATAAACAAAAGGAAAACTGTAAATACTAAGGATTGAAAGGGTGTGCAATTCAAATGACGAGGAGTGTATATAAGCAGATGTGATCACTACCACAAGTAAACGCGAGCTGAAAGTGTGATTGTGTTATGGTCTGATTATGGAAACATGACGTAACTTACGGCTCTACCTTAAAAATTCTGTTAAATGGGTGTTGCTTATAATTGAACAGCCGAAACTTAACGTAACTTAATGCCACATGGAAATCTGTTTCATTTTGATTCTCTAAGTTCTACGTTCCGTTAAGTTAAGATAAGTTGCCATAATCAGGCTCTTAGTTCGAATGATTTGGCGTTCACTTTGTTACGCTCTCGCATGTATACGCATGTAACACGATTGTATTCTATCATTCTTGCGCATGTGATGCTTACGCTCTTTAAGCAGGCGCTCACTCTCTGTCCATGCTTGTATATGAGCAAATTTGACATAGCTACAACTGTTCCCAACTTTGAGCCTTTCGCAATAAATTACGTACGTTTAGGGAATTAAAACGCGAAAATTGTTTAGTTTAGCGCTTGTTTCGTTCTTTGGTGCTCTTTTCAAGGCAATTTCATAATAAAAACGTGATTCTATGGGGACATTGTATTTATTTTGTTCATTCATTTATTCATTCCAAACGTACGGAAAACTTTATCCGTTGACTTACACATATGTTAGTGTTTGGCCGAGCTTCTTCTTTGGATAATATACCCCCAGATAATCCAAACGCAATACACACAGTCTCTATCCCGGAATTCATAGAATATTCTGCTAATTAGCTGGGTATGCGCATTTGTACAAAAGTAAGAAATTGCATGAAAATAAAGCCGCTAGAGAAACCAAGTAAAGTTTTGCAAATTGTTTTACGAATCAAAAAACATTTTGCAAATTAAATTAATTAAATTAATTAACTGCGCATAGTTGAAAATATTTACAAATGACATTGCGTGATTACTTAAAATATTTGAACATACAGCTTTATATGCAAAAATACCATTACACACAGCAACACAAATTTGGTGTTGTTTTTTTTTTGGAAACTTGCGCTACTTTCAGTGTTTTGGTGCTTTTTTAAATAAAAAACTTGGCAATACTGATCACTAGCCGACCTTCATCGAGCGCTCTTTGCTGGGTTCCGACACAAAAAATGGTAGTAAAAATCAAGTTTTCGTACTAGATGTGCATTTCTTATCTTTATAAAAAACAATTCATTTCTCCTCGTATCACAGCATTCTGGGACTAAATAAGGGGCTAAAGCTGCCTTTACAAGGGTCGATTTTTGTAGACTGGAAAATCGACTAGCCAAAGCATTTACATTTTACGGTTGAGATGTCATTTACACGGGTCGATTTTGGTTGAACGACAAAAATCTATTAGAAAATCGACCCGTGTAAAGGCGCCTTAATCCAGCGAGCAATTATCATTAAAGTTAAAATGTCTTGGTTAAAATTAATAAAAAATTATTTCTTCCTTTACCGGGACAATTGTTACATCGGAGGGCAACGACGCAATTACAGAACTTTAGACAAG